TTTTTTATAAACCAATATAATTATAATAAAATAAAATAATTATTTTGTAAATATATTTATTATTTAATTAAAAATATTATGAAAATATTTACATTTGAAAATGTTGAGTGAAAGACAAAAAAATGTTATGAAAATTGATACTAATAAGATTGAATACGTAACACAAAAATGATAAAGTAAGGAAATTATTAGATAAACAATCAAACATATTTCAAATACTAGTTCATGATATTATTAAATTGTTACATTTGTCATAAAGTTTAAATAATTAGTAGAAAAATATATCTGATAATGAAAATTGATCATATACTTATAAATATGAATCGAGTACATTTTGAGAAAATGAAAACTAATGACGCTAAAAGTGATTTTTGTAAGCACTATCATTTACTTTATAATTTTATTAAAATAATTTATAAGCTTTTATTATTTAAATAGATTTTTGTAAGCAATATCATTTACTTTATAATTTATTAGTATATAATAGCAATAAGGATTTAATTTAAGTAGAAAGTAAATTCCCAACTAAAAATTTGAATTTTACTACAATTGATAACATTTTTCAATAAATTTGCTTGTATACATCAATAAATAATATTAATATACTTTAAATATTTATCAGTATATAAAAAAGAATATTACTTCTATAAGTTTTATAAATAAAAATGACATTATAGGACAATTAATTTTTAAATAAAATAATATTTGAGTATTATGATGAACTAAAATATGTAAAATTATTATTTTTTATGTATTAAAGACAAAATAAAACCTAAATTGGGTCTGACTGTGTGCGTGCACAACCAATAGCCAAATAGTACTAATAAATATAATATTTTAATTACATTAACAATCCCATCTATATCCCGTGCGATATCTACCTAAGCTCCCTTTGTGGGCGCGTTTTTCAGAACAAAGTAAAACCCAATGAAGCTCAATTTCCCTGACTAGCCAACATTGAAGTTATGATACTCAAATGGAAACTTAAACAAACTACAACATAAACAATAATGAATAATGTTAATGCCAAATAGCATTAATAACACTAGTATCCGTCAAAATCTCATCATCTTACAAACACTAGGAAAGTCGGCAATCGAGTAAAACAACAATAATAGGCTCTTGACATGTTCTTCCTTCTGCTGGAAAAAGTCCAAGGAAATAGAAAAAATATGCTATATCACCAGTTTCTCAAAATCGCTAAACCAAAGTTCGCATTATATCACCATTTGAAGCCAGAATAGAGATTATCATCCCAAGAACAATCATTAGTAATTCCTTCCCCAGTAAGTCCACTTTTTCGCATGCTTTCCTGATGCGAAGCACAAAGTCCCTGCAAATTGAGAATTGTTAATAAAGTTTCTAAGTTCTGGAGAATAAGATCCAACATCCTTGTAAGGATCTCATAATAGACCAAAGTGATGAAGTTCGATGGTATACTGAACTCATTCGACTTTGCAGACATCATTTTGTTCAAACAAGAATATTCTGCCAGAAATCAAATTCACCAAAAGCATTATGAGAATTGTAAATGATTTGCTAGATAACCACTATCCCTCCTATTTTCATTCAAATAACAATGGCATGTGGCAAACGGATGCCAAATTACAGAATGATTGAGTAATGCCCTGCAGCAAAACTAACCAACTTCGCAACAAACTCAAATATTAACTAATACAAATAAACTGCAAGTCAAGCCATAAAATTGACAATTTACTAATAATTAAACAAAAAATAAAAAAAGCAAGCCAACGTGAAATCTAACAAACAAAACAGACACGTGATTTCACTGAAACAAATCTGTCGTTGCAGGGAAAGAAGTTCTAACTTGATAGTATCGTCCGTCAAGTTTCTTTATGCCATAACCCAAATGAACCTCTCCAAAGGACCTCATTCCAAAGGACCTCATTTTAGTTTTGCTCCATTTGCCAAACATATTAGCATAAAGCAGAGTGGAAAACAAATCCTATTATTGTAATAAAAAATAGCTTAAAATCCATCTCTACTCACCTGACCCTATGTTGATCCTAACTATTCCACTTTTGCAGCTGATGAACATAAGCACATTCATTTGTACATACTTTATTGACTTAAAATCAATCTCTACTCACCTGATCTTCATATCAAAAAGTAAAAAGATCTACTTTTCAATAGGCAGACTACACAGACACAAATTTGTTAGCAGTAATTGCTTAACAAAGACAAGCTCAACAGCAAAATTACACATAAAGCTCCAATTTTTCGGCCACCCATAGACAATAAAATATGAACCGGGCTAGAAGACGTTACCAGGTATATCTGCAACCCGGGGCTCCGTATAATGCCCGTTGTAGACTACCACGGCGTCGTACACCTCATCGTATCCACGTTTCTCATTCCCAATTTTCAATCTTACCGACCAATTCCGACCCTCCGCAAACCCCACATGGGACATCTCACTCCTAAACCTAACCACTTCACCGAGCCTAAACTCGTCAGAAAAATCTCTCAAATACTCCAAAACCTAACGTGACCCGGAAACCTCCTCAGATCTCTCCCGGGCTTCCCGCTTGCCACGAACAGGTAGGCCCGGAAACCCATGACCTCCCGGGGCAAGTTCGTCCGTAGCGAGGCGTAGAGGCTGGAGTGGATGACTTTTCAGGTCCGATCGAGTCCCATCAGGTTGGCCTCTGTTTCTATCGAGATGCTTCAATCGGGCGATCGTCGGAGGTGGAGCAGACGTAGGTGGATCCGAGGGCTGAATCGGCGAGAGGATCCTTCCGCTTTCGTAGGAGTAAGAGATCGGAATAATCCGACGCAGGCGTCGGAGGCCGGCGACGGGGCGACGGGTGTGGGAGGGGTTTGGGATTGGGCCCGACTCAAGGTTTGGAGGAAGGAGGAGATATTGATGTGGATGTTGATTTTTGGGAGATTAATTAAGGTTGTGATGATATATATTTTTGTGTTTGAAGGATTGTTATACAAATAATACAAATGTAAGGTCTTTAAAATAAATATAATTATTCTTTTATAAGTTATTTTAATATTTAATGACATAAGGGTATTATAGGTTTTTTGCCATGTACGAGGTGTACGAGCCATGTACGAGGCAATTCATGTACGAGGCAAATTCTTTTTTGCCTCGTACATTGAATATGTGGTTGATATTCAATCTTGAATAAATCTAATGGTTAATAAGGGGGGTATCTGATGTTATACACGTACGAGGGGTACCTGACCCTAGAAGATCCCTACTTACTAAAGTATTTATTTGTTTTATTTGTCAAAGTTAAGTATAAATTTGTTTATATTATCAAATCATAAAAAAATATTAAATCCATATTGTAAAAAAAAAATCATATAATTTTATAACAATTCTGCTATACAATTTAACAATATACCTTTTTTATTATATAATAAAATAATAATTAACTATTATATGGTGAACAACAATAAGTAAAATTGATACTTTCTCTTATATCAAGGGATAAATTTATATGCTAAAATTAAATTTTTATTAGTATAAATGATTTAGTGAGATAATATATTAATTAATTTACAAGCTAGCCCTAACATGCTCATATTTAATGTTTTAAAAGATGTAGAAAAAAAACTTATAATAACTCTATTGTTTTTTAGACTTAAATGTTCATTAAAAGAGGTAAAAATTCCTAATTTTTTAGACTTAAACGTTGATTAACACCATAGATTGAGAGTTTATATTTAGTAAAATTCTTAATTGTAATAAAAAAAATAATTTTTGCTATATTTTAGAATATCTTTAAATTCATTATAAAAAAAAAAAGAAAAAAAAACTACAATGAAAAAAGCAAGTCGGCTACATATCGATTTGTTGTACTCCTCAAATCACATTCACAATCTGGCTACAAGGAAAGGAAACTCATTGATTAAAATATTATTTTGTCAGTAGTCTTAATGTACAAGAGGCTTTAAGACTCCACGTGAATATTATAAAACTTTTATCGAACATTGTACAATTTTTTTGCGTATTATAAATTTTTATTGAATATTGCATCTTATAATATAATATTCTCCAAATAAATATATCCCGTGTTTCGCGGGTCACGTACTATATATATCCCGTACATTTTTCTTTATTGATGTATATAATTATAAGCCTGAATAAATAGCCTTAAAATTGTGCACCCCGTGCATCGCACGGGCTCTGTACTAGTTTTATTTAATTGTTGTTGTTTATCTATTAATTACTGAATCCTATTTTTTTTTAAAAATGGTATTTTGGTTGTGCCAAATGGCAATATGTATAGGTTCAGATTCTCCATGGTATACTTGAAGATATTTTTGAAATGATTATATATCAATATGTATTGGTTCAGATTCCATGGTATTCTATTCTATGGTTTCGTGAAAAAATAAATAAATAAAAAAAAGAATGTATACTATTTATGTGCAAATTCATATGGTAATTGTACATGTTTAAAGCATTTTTATTCTCTTTTACCGCTACTTTTTTACTCATAATCTATCATTATATTAAAAGATTAACCATTTAACATTTTTAGTAAGGTTTTCCCGCCAACAGCATTTAATGCCTTCTAAAAATAGAATTTTGGACATCTACACTTATATTAAAAGGAATCCTATTTACCAAATTAAGTAGCCAAAAAAGTCAACAGCATTTATTGCATTACTATTTCCGTATTATACAATCTATATTTATATAAAAGGAGATTCTATTTACTACATTTACTACCCAGAAAAGTCAATTACATTAAATGCCATTAATATTTTGGTATTATAATATTTTATTTATTTAATTAATTAATTTATTTATTTTATTTTAAAAAGGTAAGTATAATAAAAAGATTTTAATAAAAAAAAATCAAATACCAAATAAAAATATACACTTTGACTTATTTGATTATATTTGGTATTTGATTATACCAAATATATTCCTATTTAGTATATACATTAAATACTTACTAAAGTATTTATTTATTTTATTTGTCAAAGTTAAGTATAGATTTGTTTATATTATCAAATCATAAAAAAAATATTAAATTCATATTGTAAAAAAAAATTCATATAATTTTATAACAATTCTACAACACTATTTAACAATATTTCTTTTTTATTATATAATAAAATAATAATTAAATATTATATGGTGAACAACAATAAGTAAAACTGTTACTTTCTCTTATATCAAGGGATAAATTTATATGCTAAAATTAAATTTTCATTAGTATAAATGTTTTCATGAGATAATATATTAATTATTTTACAAGCTAGCCTAACATGCTCATATTTAATGTTTTAAAAGATGTAGAAAAAAACTTATAATAACTCTATTATTTTTTAGACTTAAACGTTGATTAAAAGAGGTAAAAATTCCTAATTTTTTAGACTTAAACGTTGATTAACACCATAGATTGAGAGTTTATATTTAGTAAAATTCCTAATTGTAATAAAAAAAATTAATTTTTACTATATTTTAGAATATCTTTAAATTCATTATAAAAAAAAAAGAAGAAAAAACTACAATGAAAAAAGCAAGTCAGCTATATATCGATTTGTTGTACTCCTCAAATCACATTCACAATTTGGCTACAAGGAAAGGAAACTCATTGTACAATTTTCTTGCGTATTATAAACTTTTATTAAATATTGCATCTTATAATATAATATAATAAATATATCCCGTGCGAAGTACTATATATATCCCGTACATTTTTCTTTATTCATGTATATAATTATAAGCCTGGATAAATAGCCTTAAAATTATGCACCCCGTGCATCGCACGAGCTCTGTACTAGTAAATATTGTAAGAGCTAGTCCATTAATTTGACTAATTAAATAATATTTGTTAGAGTCATTTACGGTTATGTTGTTGAACTTGCTTGGGACTAAAAGGCTATGTTGTTGTTGTTGTAGAGTCATTTACGGTTAAAATTGATTCATTATATTGCCATTTTTATTACGAATAATGGGAAATGTTAAAGAGACATGATTAGTTTATATTTTTAATTATTAACTAGCAAATTAAATTTTAATAAACAATAAAAACCTTTCCTTCCTTAATTTGTCATATAATTAAAATTAGTTCATTATGAGAAATTACTTCGAAAATATCAAAACTAATAATCTTTTCATATCCATTTTCCCACACGTACAGTAATTTTCACAAGATTTTTTTTGTTCTAATTTTTTTTACTCTAAACCAATTGTCATGAAAATGAATAGCCGATATGGCACATGGAAAACTGTAGACCACATTGTAGCGAAAGAGATGGCTCATAAAGATTTCCTTCTTCACATATAAATGCCAATTTCTTCTTGTTGGTTGTCTGCATGTTTAAGGCCTTTGATTGTTCTCATTCTTATTTATGTGTATCATTTTCCCCATATAATTTTGTTACACCTAAAACATTAATATTGGTTTAAACGTCCTAATCCTCACACAATCATACTTTTTCAACATATGTATATATTTTCATATAAAAATGCAACATTTTAAAGAATCACATAAATTGTCAATATTCTCGTGTCTCAACTGTCTGTTGTGTTAACTTTTCATGACTATTATCAGTAAAAACTTCCACAGTTTTCATCACATTTACATTGACAGATTCAAATACCTTTTGCCCCTCCTCTGCACATAGTAAATGAAGATTATTACAGAAACTGCCCCAAACTTCAGGCCAATTGCAATCAACAAATTCTATTATCTTTTCTTAATAATTAAGAAAAGAATCATCCAGTCAATAAGAGCAACATGTGAAAAAGAAACATATATCAAGAACAATTTGTTAAATTCCCAAATTGCAAACTTCTCTTTATTTAGCCCAAAACTCAAGGCAATCCCTAACATTTAATGCAATCATACAAGTACAATTTTCTTAACTTAAGCAGAATTGCTGCATAATTCAAGTTACTAGACTAATAGGTAAATATTCACACTGAAGGTAAAAACCATGTGACTAGGGATATTTTGTTATACATCAAGGAAAACTATGTGACTAGGGATATTTTGTTAGACAAATCAAATTCAAGTTCAGGTAAAAAAAGCCCTATATTTTACATTTTGTAATCAAACAATAATATGTAAGGAATACAAAGAACCTATGTAACCATGATATTCTGAAACTTCTTGTTCAGCCAAAAAAAAAAGGGAAAACCCTTCAAAATTCTATCATATTCTATCATTCTATAGTGGACTGAGCTGGTCCAAATCAACACACAACAACACATTATAGCTTCTATG